TGCAAACTTCAGTATTATACGTTGCTGGAAGTATTATACGTTGCCACCGACGTCAGGTAAACTACGGGACATAATTCCGTGCTCGAAGGAAACACGATTTGATTTGCATGATGGGATCTAAAAATACCCACAAACCAAAGCTGCAACAAAAGCCAGAGCTTAGACGACCTGAAACAATACTTTCCACGATCTGAATAAATCTTCAAGCATGTCAACACAATCAACAATAAAATGCGTTGATTGATTGGTTCAGCTTTTCATAAGCGTGAAGTACTGCGCAATGAAAATAACAAAGAGATTTTTCACTTCATCACATAATGACAACGCGCTGTCTTCTCGCGGTAAATCAAAAGACTGTTATTTTCTCAAAGGAAAGTTACATGGAAAAGTACACCTGGCAACCATTATATGAGCTACCATCTTTCCTCACGTACTTTTTAGCGTCACGTTCTGAAATTTTAAAACATAAATATATATACGAATAATTTTCCCTTTACTAAATGCGTTCACACAACAAGCTCCTTTAAATTTTGAAATGGATTCGTGCAGGTAGTAACTGCTTTCGTTTTAATTACAAACATACCATATTTGCAAATTACCTGCAAGGGTCATGCCGAACCTTTCCTTTTAATTCTTGAACTTTACCCTAGCCTAACATAAGAACGGCCCATCAAGGCGAAGAAAACGAGAACTGACATTCAGTTTACGACTGCTTACACATTCACTTTCTGTAATAATTTATGGATGATTTGAGGCCTAATGAGTAGAAGATACATCAGTAAGAGCGAACGAGATTCAAGTTACAGGGAAGTAGAAATCAAGCTAATTTGTTACATATATTATAATGTCAATATTACTATGTATTCTTATTAGAATGGAGGCTTCTTTTAAAGGAATAATGATGTGATAGCTACCAATGGTTTATCCATGACTATTTTCCATTTGTGACATTCTTACTGTCACCATGTCTTTCCGAAATTAAATTATTCGCATCATTTTCCACTCTCGATTTTTGGCTGAAACAATTAGTAAAAATAAGGTGGAAAATATGAAAGGATATTTGATATTAGGGTTTTGCAGATATATCAGCAATTTAAAAACTATACGCGGATGTTCTTTTAAATATATTGTAAAAACAAAAATACCAAAATTATTTCATATGGCAGTTCTTCAGTAGCGAAAATTCAATATCTTTCATACATGTATTAAAATTGACAACGGATGTTTGAGGTTTAGCATTTAAGAACCTCTCAGTTAAGATAACAGACACTTGCTCAAAAGAACATTAACAGAATTAAACAGAATTTAATCTAAGATGCCGAAGTTCCAGATAGTTTTGGCCTTCTGTAGGACTTGTGACCATACACAATATGATTTTCGCTGATGTTCAAACGGATTGTCAATCTATATTTTCAGAAATCCACAGCAACAGATGCTTGTTCAAACAAAAGCCAAATATATTAAAACTAAGACGTCCACCTGCATTTGTATTGTGCCACACTTTTTTTTTTTTTTTTTTGTGATTTTAGATTGCAGAGGTTGTTCGCACATTTTTAGATGACTCTGCTTTGCTGAAAAAAAAAATCTTCTTCGATCTTTTTTTAATTTCAGTTACATTTTTGAAAGTATAAATTAGCGTCTGCTCCTTGACAGTTTTGTTTTCGTGCAAAACATTACTTTTAAAGAAGCAGTCGATGGAAGGGTATGTCATTCCGAAGAAAATTATTCGTATCTAGTTATTGAAAAACGTTTTGAAAGCCACGGTTTTTAGATATCTTAAGTTACGATAGGTGATGTTGTCGACAAGAAAGGGGGAAAAAAAAAAGTCAAACGAGAACAAAATAAAGTGAAAGCTAAGACCCACAATTTTAGTCGGTTTTGGTCTTCTGAGAAGGTTTTGATCTTAAGATCAAAACATTGACTATCGATGATGTTCAAAAATATTATTAATTTCAATTCTCAGAAGCGCTGAACAACAAACTTAAGTTCACTTCAAAAACAAATATAGTGAAAGCTAAGACCTACAATTTTAGAGAGTTTTGGTCTTCTGTATAGAAAATGTTGACTATCGGTGATGTTCGGAATCATAATTAATTCAATTCTCAGAACCGCTGAACAACAAACGTAAGTTCGAAGAAAACCCAAATATAGTAAAAGCCAAGACCCACAAGTTCAGACAGTTTTGGTTTTCTGTGAAAGTTTTGATCTTAGACTATACTGACTGTCGATGATAATCAAAATCATTTCTAATTTCAGTTATCAGAAATGCTAAACAACTGACGCCTGATTAAATAAACACCAAATACACTGAAAACTTAAAACGCAAACACACAATTCTTCACAATTTGTTCTTTAGTTTAGACTGCAGGATTGCCGTAGATCACTGTTAATTAATATTATCAGAAATGGTGAGTAATAGACACCTGTTCAAATGAAATACAAATAAAATTATAACTAAGATGCAGAACAAAATGCTGCTTTCTAAATCCAACAAATTATTTGAAGCAATGTCTAAAGAAAGGCATTTTTAAAGCTGCAAAATTTATTTTACTAAACACTTTATTTATATATTTATTCTAATGAGCCCCCCGATTCTCTAACGAATCGAATAATGCGTTAAATTATAATGACCAGCAAAACCATACCTTTCACACACACACAAAAAGGAGGGTGAACATTTCGTCATTTCAGGGGAAGTCCGATTTCGTGTCAAGACACCTATGTTAGAACAATGATATCTAATGTCTAAGTCACGCATTCGAGACATGAAAAATTCAAGTTAAATTTCGTCATTGGGCCCAGTGTAACGGGAGACACATAACCGCCCTCTTTTTTTTATGTGTGTGTTTGTGTGCAGGGTGTACCTGTGTTCTGTACTACGTTCAACACTGCAGTCCCCAATGATGTCTCAAATAAGTTTTTTGATATATTAGCTGACCTTCGTCTAGAGCACAGAGAGAACTAAACTTTTTTGATTGCTTAATATTTGATATTAACCAGTTGAGCGCACAGGCGCAAACAACTATTTCTTTGACTACACAATGATCTCTTTCAGATTGTTTTTTGATTACTATCATTTTTGAAAACATTACTTGGAAACGTAAACATTAATCAGTTGATTGCGAAGATAGTGGTTTAAAATCGAAATGTCAATTTATTTTCATTTTTTACGTTCATATGTATATTTTTAAACATAATCTGTTTTTTATATTTGTAATAATTTTTGCATCTAAACTGTGTCGAGGTTATAATAATATTCTTAGTAGTTTAGAATGGTAACAAAGAAAAGAAATTTTTCCTTCGTACTAAAAAAAGGATACAATTATTATTTTTGAAATACCAACAATTGGAGCTAAAAGTCCAAGCCCTACATATTTTCTTCTATTCGCCCTCCTTTTTCATCCTTCATGTTTTCCTCCGCTTTTCTAAATCATATTAACCATGATGCTGATACCACTGCTAACACTAGGAATTGAACTACCATTCCGCTGTTACACTCACAACTACCAACCCATTTTATTTATTTTATTTTATTTTATATGTCTTTTCAGCTTTACTATGAAGCACCTTTTTCTTCGCACTTATGCCATGTACAATTCAATAGCAAAATTACAAAAATTTTAAAAGCAGCATAACAATATACGTTTAGAATTCCCGTTGCAGCGCTAAGTGTCGGCTTACATTTTTCTCAGTTCATCATATCAATGTTCAGTTTTCTTACTAAGATGGCTTTACGAATCTCTTTTTTTTTTTTTTTTTTTTTTTTTTTTTTTTGTCTTTAATAAAAAGATGTTAATTAAGCTTTTGTGTGTTTACTTTCTTTGCTACATATCACGTTCTCGGCGCTTACATCACATAAAATTCGATTCGACAGCAAAATCACAAAATATTTAAAAACATCATATCTTTAGAATTCCGATAAACAGTCTCGCGGTGCCGGAGATAAACATATTTTATTCCGTACAGTATTGCCACTACTCCCTTTGAAGTCGTTGAGTTTGTTAATCAAAAATCCGGTAAAATTTCAGAAAGGCAAAGAAGGCAAAGAACTTCTAGGATTAATAATAAAAACTTCGCCAAAGAATGAGTCGCTCAGACGCAGAGTAAAAAATATTCATCAAGTTTAATTTACATCCATCCTTTAATACCTTCATGCGCGAAATACCTTTTGAGCGGGTGTCGAAGGTTGCTTTTGCCAAGAGTTTAAACTTCTGGGACTACTTTTCCCCGCCGTATCGATGTACAAATCAGTGATCCGCGTAAGTAGATTAATTAATGATTATATTTAATTTGAGGGGAAAAAATTACGAAAAATCCAAGTTTAAATTATCACGAAAAATGTTGTGAAAGAACGCAGCTTTGTGAAAGAACTTATAAGTTGAACCATACTCCTCAATATCCTACACACTTGGCAACCTGGCGAAGAGAATTTGTCCCTGCACGATTTAGCAGCGCAGCTGTCAATTTGGTTTATTTTACTTCTATGGAAGCTTTCCGTCTTTACATGCGCGTTCTGATATAGGTCACAGTACGACTTTACCGAGTTTTGCCCCGATTTTGAAGGACAGCAACCCCGGGGGGGGGGGGAGTGTCCGAGAGTCTCCCACACCTCTTCCCATACTAAGAAACCAATCGAGAGGACTTTCGCCTTCCTGAAAATTTGAGTGTCCGCATAGACGTAATAAATTCATAATAATGTATGCCATTCTATCTGAGATTCGAACCCGGGAACTTCGGTACGGTAATCAACGTCACTAACCACTATACCATCTGGGCAGCGAAATTAGTTGGTTATTTATCTCCAAAGCTGTGTTCATTTAGGAACATTTTTAGTGTATTCTTAATATTTGGAATCACTGTATATTTTACAATACGCTTTCTCGCAAAGTAAATCAAATCTCTCTAAATTTTTTAAGTGAGGCTTCATTTCGATATATACAGAAACAGCAATTACACATCACTCATATGACAAAGAATCTTAATGCTGATAAAACACTTACTTTGGCACTGGTAGCCTTGTTTGCCGAATCCCCTGCAAAAAAACACATCTCAGTTAGAACTTTCAATAAATGACAAAAATTTAACAGCAGCAGCATTTTATAGAAACTAGCCTTTTTCACGGCTAGCCGCTTAAAAGAATTATCATGAAAAAGAAGAAATATGTAATGATTCTAATGAGTCTAACTAGGTGATATTTTAAAAGTATTTAATATTTCTAATTCGACATCTCATGATTTAAATATATTTTTATTTAAATAAAAATGTAAGAAATCATTAAAAAATGTAAAAATGTATAAAGATTCTAAAGAACTGCGTATATTGCTTTTAAATTGCTTGTTTCACTAATGAAAATCATATAGATTAAATTTAAATGTTAAGTATCTTACACTTTCTTTAATTGGGAACACGTTGGTGTCTCGCAGACGAAAGTGTTTAACAGAGTTTGTTAATTAAACCTGAAAGATTTAAATATTGAAAAACTAAATTAATAGTCTTTCCTAACGCTTTTAAAATTCTTTTAACTTAATTTTCCAATTTTCGTTACTATTTCTGCCAACAGTTGGCGCTACCTTCTCGTTCGCTTTACTCCTTTTGGGTATAAATACAAAGGTTAATTTTCCTTCGTTGCAGATTTCTTTGTTGACTATGTTGTGACTAATCTCGCTTGTCTGATCTAATCAGAACAAACCCACGAAGAAGGGGTACAAGATTACGCCGGTCGTTGGCAAGAACCTTGAGCACCATATAGGTAATAATACGATTTTTCCCAGTTCCATTCAGAGTTTTCAGGGAGAGCAACCCGGCGGGGGGGGGGGGGGGGGTCGAGCGTCTCCCACTTCTCTTTTCCTACTCTCAAACCATATGAGAGGGCTTTTGGCTCTCCATATATTTAGAGTACATGCCGCAAAGACATGCGACGGAGGACGTGCCAGTTGGTTAATTGGTATAGCGCCACGTCCACCAATATATGTATTAATATATGTATACCCTATTCCTATATATGTATGCATGTGCCTTTTCCAGGATTCGTACCCAGACCTTCGGTACGGTAGTCAGAGTCACTAACCACTATCCCGTTTGGGCGGCGCAGATTTCTTTGGTGCTGATGAAGAAGGACAAGCACCTGATTGCCCTCAAAATCTTGAGTAAAGTGTAAGACAAACACAAAGTCTAAAGTAAGTAAAGTAAGTAAGTAAACTCAAAATCTTGAGTAAAGTGTAAGACAAACACAAAGTCTAAAGTAAGTAAAGTAAGTAAGTAAACTCAAAATCTTGAGTAAAGTGTAAGACAAACACAAAGTCTAAAGTAAGTAAAGTAAGTAAGTAAACTCAAAGTCTTGAGTAAAGTGTAAGACAAACACAAGGTTGTTGCTTTGCTTAATTTTATGACTATAAATGAATCTTGCAGCACAATAATAGTTGGAAATAATTGAAGGAGAACGCGGATATTTATGAATTCCTCTTCAGCACAAGAAATGCATCGTTATGTTCCTCAAATCACTCTCAAGGCAAACTCTAACTCGCAATTTAGTTAAGTCTTACCTCTGACTCACAACTGAACTCCCTAGCTTTCCAAACCGTATTTATACCCTGCAGCATGGGCTCTGAAAACTTCTACAAGAACCGAAGTTCATCAAAAATGTGTTTTTGCAAACCTTTCAGAAAGTCAAGGCACAAATTTGCCTATAATCTCCAGTTCTAATTGAGCTGTTTTCACAATTTAAACCCGTGGCACTCAGAATTAAAAGATCTATAATTCCATGCAACAAATAACCACTTAAATACAATTTCTGTTGGATTAGAATTCCTCACACCTTGCCAAGTGGAATGCTGATTACTTGTCTCTAGGGAATCTTTGTGAGGTTTCACTCATTGTGTGCGGTTTACTGTTAGGACCGGATTGCAACTGCGAGTATCAATAGCTAAGCGTTGACGCTAAGCAAAGGAGAGGGAACAGGTGCATTCAAATAAGAGAGTTACTTTAGTCACTTCAAAAGAACGATTGGCATGTCACTTAAAAACTCATTACAATAATACATAAAATAAAAAAATACAATAAAAAGGATTAAAATGTTTAAAAATATTTACAGCGTCGTCTTCTTATATAGATGTTTAAGGACTAAATTTGTGCAAAATCGAAAGTTAGCAGGAAGAGGACATTCACTCTTCTTAGTGTTCAATACAGAATTTTCGTACCTCGATACAACGCTTGGTATACTTCACCTAACTGCCTGATACTAAGTCGAACTTATCTTTCTGAATCCTGTCTAAAATTTGTAATATTTGAATCACGTCAGCACTATTAAAATAATGACATTTGAGATGAGACTTACGGAAGAGAAAAAAGTTTGATAATGTCAAATCTTTCAAATTTAATCAAAAAATTCGGCGATATAAAAGAAAAAAGTTGCCACTCGGCGAAAAGCAAGACATTTGTCTTTCGAATTTAATCACATTGTAGAGAAATAGCAGCACCTAGAATACCAAATTTTGAATACACGTCATCTTCCACTCAAACATTTGCATCTCGAAGACTGAATTTTTAATTTCGAAATTGTTTTTTTTTCAGATTTTGTGCGAATTTAAAGAGCTTCTAATTAAAACTTCAGAGATTTAAAAGCCTTGTGTTGCTATTCAGTACACCGAATACAGTTAAAAACAATTAAAATAACCATTTTACGATTAAAATTAAAAGTTTCTACGCCAAAACAAGCAATTCGGCCACCGGACAGGAACACCAAAATTTTAAAATATAGAGTTAACTTGCTCCACTGGGCAAAAAGAGATCGAAGTTAGTGCACGAACCGATTTAATTCACTAGTCTACTAAGAGCTTCAAATGTAAACAAATGGCATCCTTGTTAGGCCTACTCCACTTTTAAATTTTTATAATTCTACAACCATTACATGGAGATTACATAAAGATTAACGAAAGGTATAAAAACCTTAATCGGAATATAAGAACAACATAATTCAAAGCCTTTTAAAGCAAAAAATGCACAATTTACCAACATGTTGCGGCCGATTGCAACCCAAAAGGTAAGCGTACAACTACATGTTATAGCAGTGCCATATACAAAATTTCAAACTTTTCTACTCGTTTTTGATTTATGCGAAATACGTACATATGTACGTACGTACGTACAGACGTCACGAAAATATCTCCTCTGAATCCATTTCAAATCCATTTTAAACCCGCTTTGGAAAACGATGTGTTTATTGTGTCCATACATACAAAAATGTACTTCAAATGGATTCGAGACAGATGACATACAAAAATGTAGTTCAAATGGATTCGAGAGCGATCAAAATGGATATTTTTGTTGAAATATGATACCCGAAATTTTCGTGATTATAATACTGATTTTACGTCGTACAAGGAAGTAAAAATAAATAAATTAATTAAATATCCTAATCTTAAATAGTTTACTATTCAAACAGATATTTTACTACATTTAGTGAATCTTTACAGTTCTGTTAAATTTAAATACAAAGATTTTTTGCAAACGATAAAATAAAGAAATAAATAGAAATCGCAGAGATAGAAGAATAAAAGAGAAAGAGCTGTGGTTTGCCGGAATGACAACATCGGAATGATATTCTAAAGATTTAGTATAAAATATTGGAGCTAGTAGCATGTTTAAGATGAAGAAATTTGTATTTTTGTGCTTTTAAGTCTAAATAATATTTGTTAATGTTTCAAAAAATGGATTTAATTTGAAGAACTTAGTTTTTATTTCAAGAACCATTATTATGGTAAATTTCAATAAAGTTCGAAGGGGGGATTTTTTTCAGTATAGGAATATGGAACGAAAGAAGTTTACTACGGCCCTTTCAAAATGACGAATCCTTTTAAATCATAAACAACTGGCGGTATTGATTCTGATGATGGCGTCGGTAAGGCACCAGATTAATTGGAAAGTAAACATCCAAAAAAGTAACAAGTATTTATAACAACAATCTGCTTTTGACTGATCTCCAACAATAGCAAATTTCCAACAAGATGAAAATTATTCTTCTAGAAAATCCAATATCAATAGCTAAGCGTTGACGCTAAGCAAAGGAGAGGGAACAGGTGCATTCAAATAAGAGAGTTACTTTAGTCACTTCAAAAGAACGATTGGCATGTCACTTAAAAACTCATTACAATAATACATAAAATAAAAAAATACAATAAAAAGGATTAAAATGTTTAAAAATATTTACAGCGTCGTCTTCTTATATAGATGTTTAAGGACTAAATTTGTGCACTAAATTTGACTAAATTTTGAGAATTTCAGTTATACGCGGTACAAGTCGTCTTTAATGAGTGGTTTGAAAATTCATTCATTAAATAATTCAAACATTCTTCTTAACTATCGATAATGCTACAGGACACTTTGGTGAAGCCCTCATCTTGTAAACGCATCCAAATCTACAGGTTTTTATTCCTTCCGCCGAACACCATTTCCTTAATCCAACCAATGGATCAAAAAGTCATAAAAATATTCAAAGCTTGTTGTCAGGCATGTTTACATACCTGCAAATAAAGTACTAGGCGAAAGAAAGCACAGCACACTAATCGCATTTTGGAAGCAACTTATCATAAGGCACTACGTAGAAATGATTAAATTCGCATGGTAACTAGTGAATTCATTAACAATGAATGCTGGACGGCATCAGCTTTGGCCAGAAGTTGCAAACAATTTTAAAGGACTAAGGACTTTCATAGATTGAAAATTAAACCAAGGAAATAGGACAAATTGCAAAAGCAATTTGGAAATTGCGAAGCAAATTGCAAAAAAAAAGTTTCGGCGAAGAACTTTCAGATATGAAAGAGGGTGAAGTAAAAAAATTAGGCGGGAGCGACGATCCTGAAAGGACAAATGAAGAGCTAGTTGATCTTATAACACTAGCAGACGGTTAAAGTAACGATAGTGATAAGATAAAGAACCCTTAAAACGAATTAGGCAAAGTGGGGGAAAGGCACAGGAATGCCTTTATTTCATAACGGAGATTGACCCAGATGAAGAAAGAAGAGGATGAGGAATTGA